GGAGGAGGCCTCGGACTCCCGACAGTACAGCGCCACGGCCATCAGACGCCCGGTGCGGTGCAGCAACAGGTGTGTGAACTCAGGGAAACAAAGGAGCAAACACAGCGGGCACCTGCACACCCTGACCTTGGGGAAAGGACACAAACACATTACGTGGGGCACAGAGGGTGCTGGGAAAACCAGATCTCCACCTGCAAAGGGATGAACCAGGGCCCCACCTGCCACCATGTACAAAAACAAACTCAAGAGGGATCAGAGGTGGGAAGACAAACCCTCCCCTGCCATCGCGTCAACTCCAACTCCTCCCGACACCACAGGACAGGCTGCAACTGTCCCCTTGTGGGTTTCTAAGACGGAAGCCTCCTCTTTCTCCCTCAGAGTGGCTGGTGGATTTGAACTGCCGACTCTGTGGGTTAGCAGCTCACTGAGTCAGCTGCGACACCAGCAGGGCTCCCTAACATAAACCCTAGAGGCATAAAGACCGTCAATGGAAAAATTGGGACAAGCTTAAGGGCCCTAAACAAGGCATAAGCACCCTGCCAAGCACAGGGACCCACACCAACGCCACCGAAGACAAACGGAGCCCTGGGGCCTCTGAACAAAGGACACGTACGCACATCCAGACTTCATCGAGGGGTGGGGAAAATGTTTGGCAGTGACAGCTCAGAAAGGGGGCTAATTTTAGAAATTTACAGAAGACGGCAAATAATCCAATTTCCAAGAAGGCCCAAGACACGAATAGATAATGTACGAAGATGACAGCCAACAATTATAGGAAGAAATTTTCCTGCTCATTGGCAATCAGAAAACACAAATGAAGACCAGGATGGGACACCACCTCACACCAACATTCTAGCAAAACTAAAAGACACACAAAACAACAAGTGCTGGAGAAGCTGTGGGCGACTGGGCACTCATGCGTGGCTGGAGAGGCTGCAGGACTGTACAGACGTGAAAAAGACAGCTCGGCTCTTCCCGAAACAACTGTGAGCAGAGTGGGAGTCCTGCGATCTTTCCACTGGGTTTACGCCCAAAGAAACAGTCGAAACAGGAAAAGACAAATGTATGCACAGCCACGTCTTCTGCAGCTATTTCTGTAACAGCAAAAAGATGGAGCCAATCAAGCCCCATCTGTGGAGGAGGGATGGCGAGACCCCAGGGGCATCTGTGGAGGAGGCACTGCCCAGGGGCATCTGCTGCACAGATCGCTCTTTCATGACGTCACCTAGAGGACTGAGGGTCCCGGCCCAGCCACGGCGCGCTCCACCAGCAGACAGGCATTCCGCACCAGGACAGCAGATGAGCTCGGCAGAAGCCCCGTGCCTGTGGGCCACGGTGCCGGGCAAGCATGCGCCATTGCCACGGGCGGCCAGAGAAGAAGCCAATCAATCCCAAAATGCCCCACGCAGTGACACTGGTGACCTTTCTTCAGGCAGGACCAGTTTCTGGAGAAGGACCTCGTGACGGATACATGGAGGGTCACAGAAGAGAGGGAGGCCCAATGAGACAGACGGACAGCGTGGCTGCAAGAGTGGACTCAAGCTTGTAGACAGTGGGAGGCTGGCGGAGGGCAGGGCGGAGTTTCAGGCAGCTGGACAGAGAGGCCAAGCATCAGAGCTGAGGCAGCCATCCCCGACAGCAACCGCCACCTGCTGCTGGGGGGTGTAGCTGTGTGTGTGTGTGTGCTGGTCTGAGGGCACTTTTCATATTGAGAGGGAACTGCGGTCTTTTACGTGTGTGTGTGCTGGTCTGAGGGCACTT